TTGAATGATTGTGATGAGCCCTGCACGTAGATGTGGTGAAAATTTTCCATAAATCTGTCTTCTTAATGAAAGCAGAAAGAAGAGCATATAACTAATCTAAGGTAGTTCGTTTAAAATGGCAAGATGTGTGTTGGAATAGAAGGAAATTTGCCTCTGATGTCATGTATAGTTTTGGTTATGAAATCGCCTTTTTCTGGAGTGAGAGCAGTCTGTTCTACATTAAAATATAACAAATTACATCGAGGTTCTTGGGCAGAGCTGCTTTCCCCGCCCTCCCAGTGCTGGTGTGGGAGGCAGGAGAGGAAAGGTAGAATCTGAGCTCTGTTGGTGGAGGAAAAGCTGATCGCCTCTAGCACTGGCCCCTGTCATATCTAAAACATTTTCTGGAAAACTTGAGCGTAGAAAGTGAATGAACTTAGAAATAAGGTTTCTATTGTAGAACAGCTTAATAGCTGCTTTCAGTATTGACTTTGTCAATTTTAGGAAATTGTGTGGAACAAAGGATGCTTGGTAAGGGGAAACCATGACTGGACAAAAAGACTGTAGGGGGTCTCACAGTGCCGAGGTTTTAGTTACATAATAGCCAGATGTCTTTCCTCTGGATTTAATGATTTGTGCACACAGTAAGTTTAAGGAAGAGTCCAGGCTAAGTTGTAAAGCCAACTCACATCAGTTGTGGCTATTAAAAAAAAAATCAATCACAGTTTTCACCAGAAAAAGGAGATCAGATCTGTCTGATTTTCAGGTTTCTTGATTGCTCAAGTATCCTTTTTCATAAACTTTTCTTGCAAACTTGTATTGTTCCTTATTTTCAGGCCACTTTGTGGTTGTGCAAAAATAACGTAGTGGTGTCCTTTCATGCCAGCTGGAATGTGGTTCTGTGGTATATTACACACTTTTTAAGATCACTTACATTTACGTGTGTACATACGTATTTTGTCTGGTATACAATATTTAGATTTTAAGTTTTAGAGCTTTCTTACTGTACCATGCATATTTTTCATGTATTTTGTATAACCCATAAATTTGAATGTCTTATAGTCACAAAGAAAGAAGGCTTTATAGTTTGAAAATTAGTATATGAAAACACAGTGGCATGAAGTTATATGGTGTGTTGGGTGGAGAGGAAGCAGCCATTCAAAAGACCAAACCCACATACATGGGAGGAAACAGCAGTTAAGAGACCAAAGATAGGGATCTTTTGAAAATATACTTAAAGCAAGATGAAAGATCTTTGGACCTGTGAAAATGCCCTGGAAAATGAATGAAAACAACAGCCTTCTCTCCCTCATCAGAGCTGTGACTCAGATCTGCTACTAGAAGGACATTGCTGAATTGAAATATGCATTAAAAAATATACATACATATTCCTTTAAGCGGCTTAAGCTATTATATGTGCAAATTTCCTTTAAGGATTCTACAGGCAGTTGCATTTATGCACAACTTAAATACATAGGTGGTCCGCCATGAGTCTTCACACCCAGAAGGCTCTGAAGGACACCCCATTTATTTTCTCACAATTACTGGGTGCACCAGAGGAACTTGGGCAACTCAGAAGCTCTCAAGCTTAGCAAGGAGTCTTTCAGTTTTAAGTGCTCCTAATAATATGCAACTCTTTTCTAACCCTCAGCTGTTTGTAATGACATATCCATTTTGTGATTACTTGGACAGCTCTGCTTCCCTACTGCTAGACAGTAAGCTGCATGGGGATGAGGCATTGTGTTTATTTGCTTTATATTCTACTGAGCCTAGGTAGGGCCTGGTGTATTGCACCCTCTCAATAAAGATTCATTGCCTATGATAAATTGGTATTTCTTTGTCTATCTGACGTTATTACTGACATAAACTGAAAGAGGTATGAATTACCATGGGAGGAAAGCTGTGGGTTTGGAAGGCTCTAAGTAGGTGACATGCTGTAACTGGCACAGAGGCGTACAGATGAGCTGGCTGGGAAGAGTTTTATGTATCAGAGGGGGAAAGGCTTTCCTACAAAGAAGACAGGCATCCTTGACACACAGATGACTTGAGTTTGCTGCCTGATTTGGTGATATTAGATTTGAACGTTCCAGAGTTCTTTGTTTTATAGGTCTCCTGACCCCTGGTTCAATTCTGCTACTTCATGTTGCCAAATATTTTTAACATCTTTGCAGTTCCATTTTAGTTTAGAATTTACCAATCAGGGACCATAGTGATGTCATTGCATATGACTGAATATCAACCATTGCATATCAACCAAGATATAAAAATCAGATAAAAATTCACTACACTTAGTAATTTAAAAAATTGTGGGATACAATTTATTTACTCATTTTATTTTTTTAGAGGCATTCATTGCTTAATAACGACAGGGCACATTCACTAAATATATTGGGGGAAGCTTGCACCTTTCTGACACTCTACAAAACATTGAAGAAGCATAAAAAAAATCCAAGTCCATATAAATATGTGATTATATGAGTTCCTTTTAGACCATAATCTAAAGATGAAGATGATGACCATCAGTGACTGGCGCATTTTGTGCTCCCTACAGATCCAAGTCGCTGGGTTCTCTTGCCCTTACACATTTTTTTTTTTTTTGCAATTTGAAATTACTGTATGTAGATTTAATATATATTTTTTTGAGAGGGCATCTCTCATATTTATTGATCAAATGGTTGTTAACAACAATAAAATTCTGTATAGGGGGGGTCAATGCTCAATGCGCAATCATTAATCCATCTCAAGCCTAATTCTCGTCAGTCTCCAATCTTCTGAAGCATAACGAACAAGTTCTTACATGGTGAACGAATTCTTACAGTGAATAAGTTCTTACATGGTGAACAGTACAAGTCTTGCCCTTACACTTTGTAATTGAAAAGAGAATATAAAAATGCTGCAATTTGTGGCTGATAAGAGCAGTTTCAACAAAAAGTGCCCTTGATTTAAAGTTCTAGATAGAAATGTGATCCAGTCAAGATTTTGGACCTTTCCCCAGAGTTCTGACCCAAGCTAAACACACCTGAGCTCCTGGTCAGAGGGCAGTGAGAAGAACACAGAGGGTGTCATTTTGTGTCTTTTGAATATGACAGCCTGCATTTCAAAGCCACGTTAGAAAGGATATGGGCTCATCATATTGGGCTTCTTGTGTTATCTGTGCCTCTTCCTCTCTCCATTATGGATAAGAGAAGTTTTAATATATAGTAGTGACATTCTAGTAGATGAAGAAAGAGGGCAGTCCCCGAGGGCAACCTGAACTTCTGCTTAGTGTATTTACTCTTGCTGTTTTCCTTCCTCCTCATTTGTAATTCAGAAGGCTCTCTGAGAAGAGAGAGACAGCAAGGCTTCTTAGATGGATCGAAGGACCACGAGCTGGGATACCAGGTTCTATGAAAAGGTCTGCTATTGAATTTGCTCTGCTACCTTTAGGCAAATCATTTAGCCACGCTGTGCTTTGATTTCTTCCTGTGCTTGCTAAGTATAAATAACATGTATTTGAGTATTCTGTGATGATCATAGAGTATTTTAAGTGTAGGATTTATTTTTCCAGGCCAGCTGCTCAGGTATAAAGCAGAAATCTGCTTCTTTTAGATGCTACGCTTGGTGAGTTAATTGACTCCCAATTCTTCAGACTTCAGCAGCCATCTAGTTTCTTCTTATTCATCTGACACATTTTGCAGTCTCAGAGCAGGTTTACTCTATAGCTGGGGGGGGGTCATATCTTTTTGTCGCCTTTATGTCGCCTTTGTTTGCAGAAATTAAATACATCATTTTGTATCTTCTTGCTGCTTTCACCTCCCTCACCAACCCATACCCCTTAAGAAGATGAAGGCTTTCTTTTGGCCCAGACCTGCTTTATCTGACACAGATCCCAAGAGACAGGAGGGAGAGGTGACATGGTAAACAAACATGCTATATGTAGACTTGCTAATATAGCTCCTTTTTCATGATTTTGGCCAAGACCATTAGTGGCTTGAACTAGCTTTAGTAAAGTTCAGTCTTTGGGGTTTTGGCAGGAAGCAGTCAGGGAATCAACTGGAGAGAACTCAAAGTATCCACCCCTCTCCCCGCCCCACCCTTTTTTGTTGTTACACCCTAGTCACATTAGGCAACAGATGTCCCTGTCAGCGAAAGGTGCTAGGCTGAGATTCTTAGAAGCTAATGAAAATGTTTGTGTTAAGGAATGCTTTTGTTCCTCATCAGTGGATCACCACACCTCTGTTTCATAAATGACAATCGCTGAAGTGCAATATTGGAGCTAACGGATAGGCGTATTTCTCTTGAACTAAGATATATTTACATCATTTCTAGTGCAGTTAAATTAAAGGCATTCTCTAAACAAACCCTGGAAGGTGTTAAAGCTAGAGAACTCATGAAAACATGTTACTCCTTAGTCGCAGCTTGGGTAGCAGCAGGAAGAACGTCAGACACAGGAACACAGAGTAACCCTTCGGTTTTGAACACTGCTAGGTCTCCCCGCGCTATAAATGATCAAAGCAACATCCCGGTAAATACTGTTCCCAGCGCTCAGTTCGCTTTGAGGGTGTTGGTTCCAACTTCCGTATGTTCGCTCAAGGAAACAAGCAGCAAGGGACTCTAATTCGGGATCTTTGTTCTTCGGCAGGGTCGTCAATACAGCAAAACAATTCGTGCAGGTGCGCCAGCTGCAGTGGCTTCCAACACAGGCAGAGCTTTCAGCTGATGCCTCTTAGAAACATGTAGGCAGCAACTTGGGGAACGCGGTGGGGAGGAAGGGAGAGGCCGGGGAACAGCCTTTCCCCCTATAGATTCCTGTCTGCTTTGCGGCTCCTGCCAAACTGGGTGGAGGCCTTAGGGTGTGTGTGGGGGGTCTGGCTCGTCAGTTCCACATGTAAATGGGAAGCTGTGCAGCTGACCCAGTGGCAGTTAAGCCCCCGTCAGCGTTAGTCTCTAGCAAGGACTCGTTATGAGTGGCTGGGCGTGCGGAAGGGTTAAGACTGCCTCTCCTCACCCACAGGGGTCAATCTGCCCAACCAGGTGAAAGCCCGCTGGGGGTCAGGATGAGGGGCCCAGAGGCAACGACTAAGGCGAGGAGAGACCAGAAACGCTAAAGGCACCACTTTGAAGGGACCCGGAGGCTTCAGAAGTGATCTCCCCTGCCGTAAAAAAATTAATAAAATCCCTTCCGCCATTACGCACAGTTGCAACCTGAGGCGGGGACGCGCTCCCAGCGCATGCGCGCTCCCTTCGTCCGCCCTCCCAGGGGCCCGCTCACACGGTGGAGGGAGCGCGCCCGGAGAGAACGCGTCCCAGCCACCCTTAAGTGCTCCGGGTGGAAACTGACGCCCGCGGCGGCGGGGTTCCGGGGGCGGAAAGGAAGGCAGAGGCGGGAAGGCGGTGCGCCGCCCGCTCTTCCCCACCCCTTGCCTCGGCCCTGACGGGGCTGGATGGGCAAGTTGGCCGCGATGGCTCGAGCTCGGGCGGCGGCCGCGGCGGCCGGAGGCGGCGGCGCCTCCCCCTCTTCGCCCCTGCGTCGGCGGTGATCGGAGCGAGCGGCCGCGGCCCCCGATGAGACTGTTGGCGGGCTGGCTGTGCCTGAGCCTGGCGTCCGTGTGGCTGGCGCGGAGGATGTGGACACTGCGGAGCCCGCTCACCCGCTCCCTGTACGTGAACATGACGAGCGGCCCAGGCGGGCCAGCGGCGGCCGCGGGCGGCAGGAAGGAGAACCACCAGGTACGGTCCGGCCCGGCGGGCGGGGGCGGGGGCGTGGCGGCCCGCCTTCCCGCGCTCGGCCCGGCTATTGTGCGGGACTTTGCGGCGAGAGCGCCCCCGGGCCCTGGCCCCACCGCCCCGGCCCCTCAGAAAGTTTTCCCTGCGTCTCCCGCGCCGGGCGCCGGCCCCGAGACCCCGGGAGCCCAGCCCGGGCCCCGCGGCGGCTTTTGTTCCCCGACGCGGGCAGAGAACGGTCTCCCCTTCCCCCTCCCCGGGCCCGAGCGTGGGCGCCCCGGAGCTCCGCATTGTTCCCGGGTCCTAGGCCGTGACTGCAGACGCTTCGCCCCCCGCGGCGTCAGCTCCGGACGGCAGGACGGAGGAACTTCGGGGCCAGCGCGTGGCGACGGCACCCCTCTGGCACCGCGGCCTGAGATATAAAAGACTAGACCAAACACATTACCCAGACAACCTGCATCACTCCCCCCTCTCTGCCCTGAGAAAAATAGTAAAGCCCGTCCCTTTTTTTTTTTTGATTGAATCTGAACATACAAAGAGTCATAAAGAAATTTAACCGTGCATCGTAAGCCATGTAACTCAGGGCTTACTCTGGTGACATTTTCCCTAGGCACTTAAAAAAATTTGTTTGACAGGTCCTCACACCCATCTTATCGAAGCTTTCCCTCCTGCACAAGAGAGGTCTCTAAACTTTGGTGTTCGTATCTGACCAGAAAGATATGATAACTTGAAGGGTTTTGGAAACATAATTGGGCAGGAGTGAATTCTTTTAGGAGTTGTATAGTTGTGAATCACGAGCGACGTGATGTGACCCGTTTAAGTAGTCTTTTCGTGAGCTTAGTTTTGTGGGTGTAGGTTAGCTGTAGAATGAAGAGGAAGGTATTTCATGTTCACAATGTAACTTGCAGTTAATACTGCATTCGTGAAGAGGCTTTTGAACTCTGCCAACGTGTTGGCTTATAACAGCTAACATTTATAGTCCATTTTGTCTTTCCAGAGAGTAGAAACTAATTACTCCCCTTCTTGTTTCTCATCATTTTCACATTTCTCATTTTTCCTATATTACATATTTTTATTATGCCAGGTGTTTTACACCAGGTTGATTCCATCTGTTTTAATGAAAGTAATTATATAAGGAGATACAACGGTTCATTCAGAAAAGTAGCATTTAGTTTTTATTTAGCAAATATTTATACTTGCCCTTTTATTCCTTTTAAAGTAAATCATAAGTTTCCATAAATTTTTGTGTAATTCCACAGCTGTTGCAGTTTGTTAAGCAGTCGCTCCTAGGATATTATTAGGCTTGTACATGAAGTCGGTCGGTGTTCTGGAGTTGTAAAATCACATTCTTTGCTATGCATTAATAACTCATACTAGTTAGTCATTCTTAGAGAAACAGCTTTAAAGCTGTAGCAATAATGTACATTTACGAAAAGGTTACATATCCCTATGGAACGTGGATAATGCTGTAGAACAGTGAATTCGAAATAATCAGTTTCAACAGTTGGTAGAGATAAGCTTTTGGATAGGATAAAAAGGAGGTTTACTTCCACTGACATGGAATTACAGCTTGAGTCTCTTAGCTGTAGGTGTTTATTATAACACTTGTGATTACCTCTACAGTAGCACACTTGATATGTTTTCAATGCTTATAAAAGAAGTGGACGTGTTTTAAAAGTTGAAAAACTGTTCAAGAAATTCGGTTTTCATGGCGCCTACGTAGAATTATAGCTGTAGACTTTGTCCCAGAATATCTACTAACCAAGGATACTTTCTACTTGCATATCTTTGTAAAGCTGAATCTGTCAAGTTCTAAGGAAAGCAAGTGGTTTTGATTCTGCTTGGTTCTGCTTTTGAGGCACTCAAGGGTGTGTATGCATGTGTGTGTGTTTTAACTGACAACTTGGCAGCTAATTTCTCCAAAGTGAAGCTAATTGATCTGATGCTTTCTGAATATTTAGAGGGAGTTTGGCTTTTTCCTTTGAATAATCAATCAATCCAGACATTTTGAGATGATAGACATTATGAAAATATTGTCCATGAAGAAATATTAAAGTGAACAAAAGCAGTGTTTGCATAGGAACCACAGTGAGATAAAGTGAATGAGACTGTCCTCTCTGTCAAGTGGCCGAGTTGATGATTTGTTAATCTGCTTTATATTCCAGGATCCTGGGTTTGCCTTATAAACTGTGTTGCTTGTGAAAGAATTTATTTTTGCCTCCTTCAAATTCATAGTTTTATATACAGTCTTCTGGTATTCATTTTGGTGTGTGGGTTCCATAACCAGCCACATCTGGTTCTTTTGGAGTTGCATGAAACTAGGGTTATGGATTTGATTGAACCATACTTAGTACAAGTTTTCCTTACGGTTATTTTTTTAAGAAATGACGGTGGAAGATTCTGTGGTTAAAAGAGAGATCTTGGGCAATGTTTATTCATTAAAAATTCCTATTTAGTTACTATGGCCTGGCAATGCAAGGCTTTTTTTTTTTTAGCTGAACCAGCTCTGAAACTATAGTCATAGCGTCATTTTAATAATTTGGTTTGGTGAGCTAGTTTGAAAACTGGTACTATGTTTCACTCTGGGCAAGCAGGATGCAAGAAGGGCCACTCTTAGAGCAGGGATCTATTTTGGGGGCCACATTGGGTACATTGACTCTTTTTTATAGCCTGGGAATTAAGAAGAGTTTTACATTTTTAAATGGTTGCAAATAATATATAGTATTTTATAATGTGAAAATTTCTTATAGGAAATTTCAATGTCCACAGAGAAACTTTTGTTGGAACAGAGCCACAACAATTTACCTATTGTCTGTGGGTGCTTCCAGACTACAATGGCAGAGTTGCATAATTGCTACTTTATGACCTGCTAAATGTAAAATATTTATTATCTGGCCCTTTACAGAAAAGGGTTTTCCCCACAGAGATTTCCAGCTTCCTTAATCCGCAGCACATTCTTAATCCATGTTGCAAAGTGTGGGTAATTGGCTCATTGGGAAGAAATAAGGCCAGGTAGTGAGAAAATAGATGTCACTTTTCAAAGGAAAACAACAGAAACTTTGGATCTAGTCTTTTCAATGCATTGCACCTCATACTTAAAGTTCAAATGCAATCATTATAGAGCTATTGGAACGTGAAAGGACTTTTAGGCCCCACTAACTAGGTTCTTGATAGTAACAGTCATTCAACAGCTTCTCAATTGATGGTATGAAAAAAGAATTGTTGCAGAACTCCCTGGAACCTTGCCAGCACAATTTCTCCAGGTGATCCTGCAAGGTTTTTTAAAAGCACAGATAAGATTCAACACCTGAAATTAGTAAGTGTAAGTTAAAATTTCAGTATCTGACATTCTTTTACCTTCTTATGTAAGCTCAGAACTGTGCTATGCCACAGCTTATGTGGATTTTAGATGTAATTGAAAAGATACATCTTTTTTTTTTCCCCAACCAAATGAAAAAATACTTGGACATCTCAGCCAGAGGTCAGAGGTCATGCTAAAGGACACATTTGGTCTCCTGTTCCGTCATTCCCCATTCACCTTGTGGAGGTGGACTTGCATGAGTTAACAGTGCTCAGGGTGAGTCCGCCAGCTAGGCAGATGGACACTGATGGATTCGTGTCCTCCTCTGAACTGAGTCTGCCTTCCTGAGTCTGGAGGCCTTTGCAGCTGAATAACAAAGAGATTTTGAAAGGGTTTCTTTCCTTCCTTATGACCTGTGTTGAAACCCTAAACAAGTGTTTGCTTCAGTTTCATGGAACACTAGAATCTCTCTCTTTGGCTGGATATACCACAGACCTTTATGTTTCCCTTTGAAGTTGCCCTAGGGAACCCTGGTAACTTCCAGCAAAAGACTGTTATTTAGAATCTTTGTTAAAATTTTAGGATTATGAAATACTAGTGAGTATTTAAAATGAAGTTTGCCAATAATTTATTAAATCATAGCGGATCTCACATAAAGAGGTTGTTGGTTTATGCTTATATCATTTGTAGAAAAATAATGGTTTGAATATTTTCTTCTGTGCTGTGCTTAGATGCGAGAAGGTGTTAATGATTAAGTTTGTGGACTTGTCAGGAGCTGCATCCGGGGAGGTCTCTCCCTGTGCATTAGGTGAAACCTCAACCTGGACAGGGAAAGTTCTGGACTTTGAATGAGAAGGAATTCTCAAACAGGTCAGACAAGTGTAGGTTAGGAAGGAATTCATTAAAGCGAGAGTAGTGGTGAATGCAGCAGCCGTGCAGGCAGCAGAGAGCTTCCTTGAGCAAAGGGAGTAAAGGTAAGCTCATTGAACTCCTTTTCAGCATAGTGCAGATCCCTTGCCAACTCCTAAAGCCAGGGTCATCTGGCATCCAGGGTGACACTTGAATCTGATGGCATGTGAAGTGAGCCCCTACCACTCCAGGATTTGGAGGAGCCGTAGAGCACTGGATGGAGTGAGATTATGTTCTGAGAACTTGCCAAAGGAAAAGAAATACTTTCATGCAGGTTACTAAAGAGCATGAATGTACAGGTGCAATCCTGTCTCGGTCACCCAGGTGATGGGAACTTGCAGGCCCACATCAGAGATCTCAGTAGCCCTTCTCTACTTGTATGAAGTAGAACAGAGTAATAGATTAGTGTATAAGTCTACAAAATAGAATGAAACAGTGAAGTAACAAAGACACTTACCACTGGAAGAGTACAGAGACAAAATGTAAAAAGTTAAGACCTGAGAAGGCCTTATTTAAGGCAAAAAGTACGCATTTGAAGAAAGGGGCAACCTCAGAGAGTAGTCGCACTTAAAAGCTGGGATTCTTTTAAGGCTTTCAGGAATGGGTCAAAGGGCGGTGGGAGGGTAGTGGGCCGGGGGTGTAGGCTTGACGTATGGTCTCATGATGTCTCTCTCAGGTAAGAGACATTGTGTCATCATCCACAGTCAGTCCTCTAGATATTCTGTAAGATGAACTTAACACAAGGAATTCTTAGGCCTGTTCTTCTCCAGGATAGTGGTTGCCCTCATGCAGTAAG